AGTCACCCGACCAGTAGTCGATCAGATCGTGCAAGTGGCCTGTGTAGATCCGAGGCTTAGCTTGAGGTGAGGAAGAAAAGCGTGAGGTAGATGCGTCGCAAGTCTGCATCTGCCCAAACGTACTCCTAGACAAGTCTATGGCTCTGGACTCACCATGTAGCGCCCTCTGTGCATACTATTATTATTTGGCTGCCCTAAAGCCGAAGATTTTGTCTGCTAATACCGTAAACAAATGGAAATACACTGTTTACTTCTTGTCTTTTAGGGCTACAATTTATACTATTCAATGCAACTCCGGGCTCAACTGGACCGGTGGGAGGTGGTGAAGACTACTCAGAGTCACGCCACGCTGCGCGGTCTCCGCTATGGTGCCACGTACTTCCTCAAAGTTAACGCCTTTAATTCTGCAGGCGATGGCCCCGTCAGCGAGGCGTTTCCCATCATCGTCACACCTGGAGGTAGGCGCAAATGCCAGGTTGCAAGTTGTCGTAAAACGCTTATGCTGGGTTTTTTTCCCTCTCCTCCTGCCTTGCATTTGGCTTGATTACAGCCTAGGGCAAGGTGCCTTCTCTGGGGCCAGAGATATGTAATTACGCCAAAGTCGAAAACGGTGCGATAGTCTGCACTGGAACTAGTCATTTTCCGGCCCGGCTGACAAAATATTTGACGCCTTTTTAGTCCCGCTGCTGTTTTAATACCAGGCTCGTGGCATTTACCCGGAGCCAGTCCCTTTGTAGCTGGTGTTCTGCTTACAGTGAAATCGTTTTTGAAAATGAGCATAAGTAAATAATAAGCATAAATAATTAAACGTGTCAAATTATATTCGCAATCCGTGTAGCATTCCCACTATCAAATTCTTAACTTTGAGTATTTCAAGCCTTCATTAAGTTGCGTTAGGCAAACGGGCGTTTTCGATTATCCATCATCAGGCCAATACAATAATACAATAGAGGGTGAAAAGAAAGAAGATCTTCGGAAAAACGAGTTGTACTCGTGAATTTTTGAACAAGTATCACGTGTTCGTCATCAGACTAAAAGAAAAGTGAGGGCTGGGAATGTCGCACTAGAAGTTTTGGGGGCAGAGGTTACAAAGAACGGAAGGGGGGATTGGGTAGGAGGGTTATGGTGACGTGACTCCCGCGGCGATAGGTTGTGCTGATGAGGGGAGGGAGGTGTTAACGTTTGGACTGTGGGCCACGTGTTCG